CACCACCGCAAACATCCGACGGTTTTTCTGTGCCTCTAGATAGTTCAGGTCACCCATCGATATCCATACCCTTGCCGCTGAGATGACGCATGCGGTGTCCCTTCCTCCCGGATTCCCATCCCCTATTCTAGAGAATCGTAGCGTAAGTCCAACCACATATCCTGGGGAGCCCGAGGAGCGTACGGCCAAAAAGAGGTCTATCATGGCCTCTTCGCCAGACAATGGTGAGGTGACCATCGTTCGTGCTGACCTGTCGATCCCAGAGGAACACCACACCACAGAATATGGCGAGGACGTTGACTACGTTGCCATGTAGATGGCGTCAAGTCAGCGATCTCGCGTATTCCTGTATCTCAGGACAGGCGGCTACGACATCAAGGTCATCGACAACAACGTCTTTACGCGGGCCATGTCACAGGTTAGGTGGTCCATCCCCAACGCCTCTGTTTCAACCGTCGTGATCTCTTCGAAGGCCCCGCCGCTGATATCCTCCTCCTCGCGGTCAAGGATTTGTGATCCTTGTACACCATTGATCCCATTTTGTCATTTATGAAGGACACGTTCTATGGCGGTGGCTTGGGATCCTCAGCTACCAAGTCAGACCTCATTAACCACGACCACGAGAAGGACACCTACTACGGCTCTTCCAAGGCGAGACATCCCATATGTGACATCAAGGAGCGCACCCTAGGTCTGTGCTCTTCCAAGTGGAAGGAGCCCATCCATGACAAGTCAGGCATCATCCTATCAGCAAATCACACTTTTTCTAGCTAGCCAACTGGTGCCCATTGTTGTAGTAGCTTTTGACATGCGATGTTTAACTCTGACGTGTTTAATTATATCAGGTATGCAAAAATGCAATGTTCAGTAGGGCTATCTGATGTTTAAGTATGAACTATCCAGTTCAATTCCACGAATGGATATATTTGGGTGTTTATAGTGAGAAGATGCCTTGTTTATCTATATTTCATTGTTAGATTGGTTGCAGTGAGCATTTGTCCGGTTTTCAAGTAGATGCCTTGTTTATCTGTATTTGCTTGTTAGGTTGGTTATAGTAAGCCTTTGGCCAGTTTTCAATGGCTATATTTGGTTGTTATAGTGAGCACATATGCCTTGTTTATTTAGTTATTCACTATGTGATGTTCATTATGTGCAAGTATGGACTGTACAGTTCATTTTCATCAATACCAGTTTGAACGATTATATTTGGTTCCTCTTATGACTGGTGTAGTTAACACATGCCCTTTATTTTAGTTTTACACATTTATCCAGTGTGATGTTTAAGCATGAGCTACGTTCTATTCATTTTCAACAATATCGGTTTGAATTGCAATATCTGGTCCCTGTAAGGCATGTTGTAGTTAATGTTTCCTTCCATCTTCTATCTTCTTTAACAGCATGCTGAAACCAACACATTCAAGCTATCATTTGGAGATGATGTTGTTTACCATGGCTATATTTGGTTGATGTTAAGCCTATTGTACTTATCATGCATTTCCATGTGCTTACACAGGACAACAACCGGAGTGGCCGACATTTTCCACTGAAGTTGGTTTCATCCCTCGGCTTATACTCCCGCCGCTCCATGGTGTAGTGCATATATATCCACGCTTGGACATTTTTTAGCTTCTAATATTGACTTGTTGCTTGTAGGTACATATGTCCTCAGGAAATATCCACGCCTTGACCCTTTTTGCGTATGAGGCAATGAGATATTCATGAACCAGCATCAAGTGAGGAAACTGATAAGGATTGTTAGCAAAAAGATACGAACATAGCAATTAATATATTTGTTTACGTTCTATCCAACACAACAATGAGTTGTAGGATGGTAACTACGGAACTCTATAGCCTTCTCTTTTATTGCACATAATGAGTTGTTAGACAACAATGTGTGAATATTTTTTGTTTGCAGTGGTTCCAAAGCAATTTACTCAAGATTACTTCGCAAAGTACATGATTGATGGACATGCAATGAAGGTTAAAGTATTTCATCGAGACTACAATGAGCATCGAGAAGTCCTAGTGAAGACTAAAGGATGGGTGAGCGGCCATCACAAGGGGTTGGCCTAGAGTCATGCGCGCATTAGGCATGGAGGAGGACACAATAGGCATTCTGCTTCACCTTCTCCAGCAACTATAATGTCTTTCATCACTTTCTTTACCGTCTTTAATACAATTGTGGTTCATTATTCTTTACTTGGTGCTTATATAGTTCTTCAGTATATGTACCCGTGCATAGAATTATGCATCCATTCTTGAACCTATATTTGTAATAAATATGACTCAATATGAAATAATGGCTGCCTACTTTCAAATTCAAATTCTGTGAATTTTAAATGCAGTGATTAAATTAGGGATAAATTATGCTCTGCATGCCATTACAGTAGCACACAGTTCCTGCTTATTAAATGTTTGTGATAGTCTCCTTATAACACACGCTTTGCAATCATGAACTGTTTATGATGTCGCCTTTATCCGACACGGGTAGTACGGATTAATCGTTTTGGACATTTTATATATCGCAAACATTTATGGATAGAGCAACGTGTGGGATATATTCAAGTTTCACATACAGTTTTATAGGGACAACTGTATGCACTCTTACATCCAATCGCATACGATGCAGGAAAGTAAATGTGTGTGATAGTCTCCTTAGCATACAATCGTGAACTGTATGTGATGGGGCGTGCATCATAAACGTTGCACCACATAATACCGTGTGCGATGATAATGCCAACCCACATGAGTAGTAAGGATGGAGCATTTGGAAATTTTGATATATCACAAACAGTTGCGTGACGACTCTCGTTTGGGATAGATGTGAGCATCGATGCATCACATACACTTAGTTCTGCAAAACGTATGCATTCC